TGTAAGGAGGGTATTCTTGAGAGGGCTTGAAATGTATCTTCTGGAGCTCAGAAGCATTTGTGAACATGAAGATGAAGTCTATTTCTGACCAGAGAATTCCTGAGGTGGGAAGGCCCCCATGGGAACAGCCCACGCTGACTTGAAGGGATGGTGGTATTGGGGATTAGAGAGGAGGAAGGACAGTCCTACCTCCCCTCGCAGTGTCCTAAGGCCCTTGTAGGTAGGTAGAGGACCCCAGTGTTCTTGGGGCTCCAAGCACTGATGCAACGAGGTGAGAGGAGGCTGAGCTGTGGGTGGCACAGGTGACTGCAGCCCAGCATACTACGTCAAAGAGATGGGCTGTGAGCCTCTTAGATAGGAAAGAGATGCCCACTCCTCTCTGAGGGTCCAGGACAAAGCACTCGCCACCACCCCTAAATTATCCATATAATCTACTGAAAACCCCAGCATCAAACCAAACCAAACCAAACCCAAAACCCTAGTATGAATTAGAGTAAGAACACCTGTAGCTAGGCATAGTGGCTTGTGACTGTAATCTCAGCTACTCCAGAGGCTGAGGCAGAAGGATCACATGAGGCCAGGAGTTCAAAACCAGCTTGGGCAACATAGCAAGACTCCATCTTGAGGATCACTTGAGGCCAGGAGTTTAAGGCTGCAGTGAGCTTTGACCATGCCACTGCACTCTAGCCTGGGCAACAAAGACTCTGTTACTTAAAAAACAAAAAAACAAAAAACAAAATTTCCTCTCACCAACATCATCATGGCCATTGAAGAAACTTTACTTTTCTCCCTTCCTCCCCCTCACCCACCACACTGGAGGAGCAAGAGACCTCAGAAGAAGCCAGAGAGACCACCTCTTGGAAGTTTGGGAGTTGGAAAGTTTAAGCTGGGCTGGACCGAGTTTAAAAACCAAAGTGCCCAGTTAGTTACTGGCTGGTTCCAAGATGTTGAGATAAGAAAGGAGTATTTGATAGAGGTCAGCTGGATAAAAAGAAAACACTTCATGTTTGTACACTGCAATGAACCAGTTACTTATTACACACATTAAGTCACCCAATTTTTAAACAATAGTGTTCTCTCTGTGCCAAGCCCTCATCTATGTCTTTACATGTACTAGATCACTTAAAACTCACAACAATCCTATAGAGGGGTCCTATCACTACCTCCATTTGACATATGAGGATGCTTTGGCATAGCCAGATTAAGTGACTTGCCGAAGGTCACACCACTGGTAAAGAACAGAGTCAAAACTCAAATTTAATAGCTGCCATCATGCATCTTTCAAATTTAATAAAATGCAGCCAGTCAGAGCACATTTGTGGGCTAACCTGGGCTATCAGCTGTCACTTTGATGCCCGTGGTTTACATGTAAATTGGGAAGCTCTGTGGGGAAGAGGAGGAGGGCAGGTTAGGGGAGCACTGAACTCAGTCCAGCCCATGGCCCACTTAGTCATGGACTCTCACAGGCAGGATCTTGGGGAGATGGGTCCATCCTTATCTACATTTTACAGATGGGGAAAGCCAAACTTGTCCAAGGCCACCATGGCCGAGGGCCCCTGGGCCATCCCTCTCTTCATAGGCTTCTCACTGGAATTTCTGTCCTGAGAACCAAGAAACCTAGATGATAGAACTGCTCCCGTGCTTCCTTCTGGAGGAGGAGAGGGCAGGGCTCTGTACTGGGTGGCAAGAAACCTAGGTCCAGACCCCCTCCTCTCAGGATGCCTGCCTGTCCCCAGGAGTGGGCCATCCTGGGTGAGGAAGCAGCAGACACTGTCCTGACCTAGCTCCAAACGCCTCCTCCAGCGCCTTTAGGGAGGCTGGCCGCTGACCAGGGTGCTGAACCTGTATGGCCCCTTCCTCTTCTCAGCCTAGCTGCGGGAACTGGGATGGGGAAAGAAGGGGTCCCTCATATTTTTGTCACTCAGGGACCTCCATGACTGAATTGGGCAGTGCTCACTGGAAATGCCTTGGACTTGGAGCCACAATTTGTGGTCTGTGTGACTTTGGGAAAGTCACTCAACAGCTGTGGACCTGCTTTTTCACCTGTCAATAGGGAAGAGTAGCTGCCGTCCTACTGAACTCCGAAGGCTGAGGTGAGCAGCACATGGGGCCAAGTGACAGAGCCCTGCACAGAGTCTGAGCCCATTCCTGTGGCCCAGGGAAGCCTCTTAGGAGCTCCCCGTCACATATGGGCTTCTGGAGCCTGTTTCTTCCTCTGTGGAATGAAGGTTGTGCAAGTGGTTTCAGATGCTCCTCCTAACCACGTGCTCCGGGCACTGTGGCTGCAGGTGGGAAGTACTCAGGAGCATAAGGCACGCTGTGCAAACAGGACTGACTGAGGAGCCTTAAGACCATCCTGGGGATTATGAAGAACACAAGTCCTGACGTGGTTTCCCAGCTTCTGGAATGGGTTTTGCCCAGGGACCCATGCACCTCACCTAGAGAGGATGTGAGGTCTGGGTACAGCAGTTCTACTGAAAAGAGCACTGACATGGGTTCCAATCATGATTCTGCCACCCCAGGGGGTATGTGCAGCATCTCAACTAATGCCACTAGCTGTTGTTTACCTTGGGGTTGTCAGGGGTACTACATGTGATGAGAAGCCTAGCACACTGTGTGCACCAGATAAATGCTTATTTCCTGCACCGGGGGATATTCCAAGGTTCCTTTCTTGTCCTTGAGTCCCACCCTTATCTACCCATATGACTTCAGTAATAATTGCAGCAAGCACCCACCGAGCCCCAACTCTCTGTTAATAAGACACATTATTTGGTTGGATCTTGCAAGAATCCTGCAGATAGGAGTGATGCCCACTTTGCAGATGAGGATGGCCACCCACTGACAAAGGGAAGGCTGTGAGTAACCCACGCTTGACAGAGTCTGAGACTCCTGCTTGACCTTGAGCAAATTACTGGACCTTTCCAATCCTTTCTTTTCTGGTATAGGAAATGGGGATAACACCTCATTATGGTTATGATTTGAAGATATAATGTATGCTATAAAGGTGCTGAATTTTAAAAGATACATGAAACACATTTGAGTGACCCATGGGGGCAAAGGAATGGAGTGGATCCTGGGGGCAAAATCAATGAAAACTTCAAATCAGAGTTCTAATGTGCCATTAACCAAGAGGACTGACTGACTCAATTCTTGGTACTTGATATTCATGTAAAGGAAAAAGACAGTACATGCGAGCTTCTCACACTTTAAGTGTACACAAATCTCATGGAGAACTGTTTGCGTCAGCAGCATCCTCTCACTACCTTGTCCCTCTAAACCCATGGTGACTCTCACAACACTCACCTTAGGTGGCTCATCTGGAGCGCAGCTGTTCAAATGGCCATCCAGTGTCCTCTACTGCACTGCACCGTCAGCCTCATGCTCCTCTAAGCAGGGGCTGGGCCTTCCACTTTGCGCCTCCCACAGGCACTGCCACTTGTGCGGTGTTCAAATCTCCTGTCATTGTTGCTGGGTCTGTCCTCAGTCAGCTAGGCCCTGCCACCCCTCCCTGCCTACCATCCTACCTGCCACACTTGCCTTTTGACCCACCCTCCAGGACAGATTCAGGACCAAGCATGGCTGCAGTGACTTGGTGCATGTGTCCTGGGGTTAATGCAGTGATGCATTAGTCCTGGGGCTCAGCTGCAGTAAACAGAAATTTACCTTTTGTAACCAAAAAGGTTATGGTCCAGAGAGCAACAGGATCACATCTTCATTGCTACAATCTGGGAATTAGGAACTCCAGAGCCACACAGCAGCTGCCTATATCTGTGCCTCGTGGTATCCCAAGGGCAATAAAGGGCTGGGGACTTGGATATCTGTCTTTGAGTATCTCCTTTGGTACAAAAAGTCAATAGTGGTTTATACACATACAAGTTTTATGACAGAAACAGCTGGGGATACACATGTGGGGAATCTTCCCTTGCCCTGGTGGAGCCTTATTGGAAATGTACAGAAGTAGACAAATTTAGGTGACAAAGAATACAAACTGCTCCACAGATTCTAATTTTCTCCTGTGAAGAGAGCAATGGATCATTAACAGAATGTTATTAACGACAGTAGAAAGGGAGGCCATAGGAGAAACAAGGTTCCAAAGAGTGAGGCTGTGTGGAACTTGCTACCTATTTTCTAACTACATGTCAACAACTAATGACCATCCAGCACAGGCACACCACCTCCACTGTGAGCACAATACATTCTCGGAGCTTCGGTCTCGAGAGATGCATGACTTCACAATGAAGGCTGATGACGCTTATGACTTAGGAGACAAATGCAGTAAGAAACACAGCTAACTCTTAAGAATTGGGGAAGAGACAAGCCAAGGAAGAGAAGGTGAGATGTGGGGGATGCTGGTACATCATAGAAATGGTCTGAGATGGTCTATAGCACTTCACCACCAAAAGACAATTTAGAACTAGATCTTTATTCTACTTGTAATTCACTGGATAAACAAAGAAATTTCAAACAAACCAAAGTGATGATGTGAATCTCATTAGACCTGAAAAGGTCATGAGAACTTTTCTCTAGAGACAGAACCTGCCCTGTATCACATCCAGCCCAGAACCATCCCCAAAAGTCTAATCAACTCCTCTGCAGCTCACTAGCCATGTTCATCCCAAGGTGGTGATGATCAAAACCATAGACTGCTCCCCAAGGGGGACTGATTCTGGTCTCTGCCTTGCGTGGTGTAGGTCAAAATTCTTTTTTAAAAAATGGAAGAGAAGACCACAATAAGATGCCACTTCACACTAACTAGGATGGCCATAAGCATGAAAAATAACAAGTGTTGGTGAGGATGTGGAGAAACTGGAACCCTCATAAATTACCAGTGGAAATGTAAAATGGTACAGCTTCCGTGGAAAACTGTCTGGTAATTCCTCACAAAGTAGAATATAGAGCTACCATGTGAATCAGCAATTCCACTCCTTGGTATATACCCAAATGAACTGAAAACACCTGAAACTCAAACAACTGAAAACTCAAAAACTGGTACACAAATGTTCTTGGCTGCATTACTCATAATGGCCTTTTTGTAGAAACAACCCAACTGTCCATCAACTGATAAAAGCATAAGCAAAATGTGATATATCCATACCATGGATACATGCTACAGCATGAATGAATCCTGAAAACATCACATGAAATGAAAGAAGCCTGACACAAAAGGCCATAATATTGAGTGATTCCATTTATGAGAACTGTCCAGAAAAAACAAAAAAAAATCTTTAGAGATAGATGTTAGTGGTTGCCTGGGGCTGGGGGCAAGGTAATGGGGAGTCATGCCAATGGGTGTGTGGTTTCTTTCTGAGGTGGTGAAATTGTTCTGGAATTAGAAATGGTGGTGGATGTACAACACTGTGAACACACTAAATCCACTGAATTGTATACTTTAAACAGGTATGTAAATTATGGGTATGTAAATTATATCTCAATAAAGCTGTTATTAAAAAAAGGAGGAACAGGTCACTTAGTGCTGATGTTTATTGTTAAGGCTCCAATCTTTTGGGTTCTACAAAATATACACCTGAAACGTTCCAACCTCCTGCTTGTTGATTACTCATGACTGGAAGGAGGGAAGTGGCCCAGACCAAAATAAGCACCATCAGCCTGACCAGGAAGTTCCTAAAGGCTCTATTCACTTCCTCCCATAGAACACCAAAGAAAATGACTCTGTTTCTCAGTGTCCTTGATGCAAGGAAACTCACAGAAAATGGCTGATTCTGCAGATGAATCACAATTTTCTGTTTTCAGAAAACAGAATTTTGTATATGACTATCTTTTCGACCTTTGCTACTAGAAAATCTAAGTGGCAAATTTACTGTTTAAATTTTATCTTTTCCTCACATCAAGATCCTAAAAGTTATCTACCTTCCCTGCTTCTGTCTGATGGTCTTTATCATCCTTTAAATACTTCCTAATAAAGGATGTTTTTATGAGCAAACTGCTCCAAGTCCTTTCGGTTGCAAGTATGGTCCAATTCCAAAACAAAAACTAACATTCCTCCCATTTGCCAGCTCTCAAAGGTTATGAGTAATGACTGAATCTGCACCTCTGCCTGATCTCTGGGTCTTTCTTCAAAGCAGAGATGTTCTAAAGGTTTCAAGGTGGTTGGCTTCCCTGTCTCTGGGGTCTTTTACTAAATCACTGCTTGCCATGGGGACTGACAGAAGTACCCAGGTTGTTGCGCAGGACAGCCTCCCCACCCAGGCCCAGCTTCCATCTGAGACTGACCCTGGGCCTAGGCATCGATTTAGTTTTCATCTACCTGTTCTCAGGCTAAGAAGATAAGCAATCTGAGGCTACAGAAAACAGCCCAGTAGATACCTCAGAAGAGTTACAGTAGCTTGTTTACCTACAGGTAAATAATAGGTCCTAATTTAGGGAAAGGAATCCAAGGAGCTGAGAAATGAAAGGACCCATATATGGTTGAAATGCTAGCTGCAGAGCGGAAGTGACTACCGCCTTGATCTCGTGCCTCTTAGCCTGGTGCTCTATCGTGCTCTTTCCACTCCAGAACAGGGCTCATCACTGCCCGCGTCTGTCAGGCCTCGGGCTGCAAAGGATCCGGAGAACACCAAAGGTCAGGTGGGCCAGGACACAAGGCACAGGACTCCCTGCTCCTCCCGAAGTTCAACACCATACTCAGATGTAGTCCATGCTCCTGTGCTCGGTCTGGGCCCCATGGGGTCCAAAAACCACAGTTAGGCAAGAACCACACAAGGTTCAAGGGAAGTACGGCCTTGAACCATCATTCTTTCCCTCTGCCCCAGTTTACAGGGGTTACCAAACACAGAATGAGACATCAAAATGCTTTAGAGCAGGAAAGCCACCTCCAATTTCACAGGGTTGGCACAAGGCCCTAAGAGGAGAAGGGACTTGCTTAGGGTCAGTCACTAAGTTACTGGCAAAAATAAGATTAGCCTTCAGGTCTGCTCTGTTTTTTCCTTGGCTTTTTGACTACTGCTGCCCATGCATAGATGGACCTACAAAACTGGCCCAGACAGGAAGAGCTGGAGGATTCTGCCTCATCAGAATGATGTAGTCTTTCCACAATGTTCCTGCTCTTGTGAAAGTCATCCTTGTGGCCTATGGGATTCCAGTCACTCACTTCCATTCATGCAGCCAGATGGGGACCCATCTTAGTGATGTCAGGAGCAATGGCAATTAATGAACGGAAGGTGCCTGAGAAGCAAGAATGGGCCCTAGGCAGGAAAAGAGTCATTCAGCCCTACAGAAACTCAAACTCTAAAGTCTCATAAATGGAAGGAGCTATGCATTAATGTAAAAAGAAAAGTGGGAAGCCGGCAACATGAATTCTGTATTGACATTTGGTTCTTAATAATAACATCCAAAATGCATTCTGTTCTTATAGCACTGCATCTGGTCGAGGATATATGTTGCTGAAGGTTGCCGGAGTCTCCCTTGGGAAGTGGGGAGGAGTTGGTGGTGAAAGGGGAGGAGCTGGTGGTAAAAGAGACACACTGATTTCTCTTTGGGAGCTATCCGCAGCTAGGTGGAGAGCTGCAGCAGGTGTCTTGGCTCTGATAAGGGGTGGGGAGGCTATCCCAGCCGGCCTGCAAACATATGAGCAGAATCCCTTGCCCCCAGCCCGTAAGAACATGGTTGCTGATGGGGACAGCAGTGGCAGCTCCAGGAGAGTGGAGGGAAGCCTGGGATGTTACATTCTTGAGGCCTTCACAGGTACATGTCATCGTAGCCCGGCGGGGGGAGATGGTCTGGGTTAGGTCTGGAATGGAAAGAGGGGCTGATGAGTTGGAGTGATGGAGAGACCATGGGGACATGGGCAGACGTGACCCTGCACTGAGGGAACCTGCCCTTCAAAATGATGTGGTGGTGTGAGGAATTTAAAAACATGCACTCAAGAGCCAGACAGCCTGGGTTTGAATCCTGACTCCCCCACTTGGTATAAGTTACCTAATCTTTCAGGGTCTCACTTTCTGCATCTATAAAATGTAGACACCACTATCTACCCAAGACTGCTGAAGAAAGGATCCAATGAGTTTCTGACACATACTTAACTTTCAAGAACTGTTAGTTCCTCCTCCTACTTTGAGTCCTCCCCAGAGGGGAGCTGGGGAAAGAGAGGCACTGAGGGATAGGGAGCTCCTAGAAGGCTCCAGGAAGACATCAGGCAGGGCCCTGGAGGAGGCTCCACTCTCCTGGCAGCAACAGGTGAAGGCAGCGGCAACTGTGTGCCTGGGGCTAGAAACCTTCGCTGCTGCCACACTGAGCCAAGCTGCCATCAGGTCCTACTTCTCAGCATACCTGAGTGACTACCTACCCAGGTGGGCTGGTCCCAATGGGTCCGAAGGGGTCAAAGCGAGCTCCTGGGGGCACAGCGCCTGGAGGAAGCCGGTTCGGGAGGCCTGAGGAAGGGTCAATAAGTGCTCTTGGGAAGCCAGATCTCAGGGGATCCACAATCATGCCACCTCTCCGATGCCTAAGGCAAGAAGAAAAGTTGGGTAAGCAGGTGTGGCAAGGACTGCCCTTGGAGAACAGGTGAGGGAGGTGAGAATGGACCAAGAATGGCTGGGTTATCTAATGTGGATGGCCCAAGCAGACATGTGGATGGCTGCCTGAGAGCCCAGCCCTTATGGGCAAGGGCAAGAACACAAAGCCTATACGAAGAGCATACTTCACAGCTGAGTACTTTTGGCTCTGCAGGGGTTGGTTCTTCTGCACAGTGCTTTTGGTTCTGTAGGGCTCCTCAAAATTGAGATCCCTGCCTTATCCTATACCCAAGAGGGCCAACTTGATCAAGACCAAGAGCCAGAACTTGCCAAGGTCAACTTCAATGTACTCACAAGGTTCTGCAGGGTGCTACTTTAGGTTTAAGGACTAATAATAGTATTGAGAAAATTCGTGATGTTAGTTTTTTTTGCTCTTTCCCTTAAGGGCCTCAGGGCAATTTCTGACTGCCTGTAGATTGCCTAAGTCTGGCTCCTGACAGCATCTGTCCCTCATGGAGTTCCATGGACCTGACCTCATGTGCTCAAACTAGGATGAATGAGCTGATGGTTCCCCAAATTTTGAGGTCACTGCTTAGTTATATCCCCACTGTCTAGGAATGAGATGCTGAAGTTGGGGTCACTTTGCAGCAGAGGTTAAAATCTAGTTGGAATCATTCAGGGAAGAGAGTGGAGAGCAGAGGCTATAGTAACTTTGTTGGATGCATGATAAGAACCGTCCAGAGTCTAATCGGGCTCAGAGGCTCCCTTTATCAAGTGGGGTAATCTCTGAATAGCCCTGAGCTGCCCTAAGGCCTACCATCTGCTCTTCACTATACAGTTGATATACTAGGGTGGGCAGGGGGACCGGGAAATGGCAGAAGAGCTGCCTGCTGGGCTTGCTCACCTCCCTGCCAACACTCAGCGCTCTCCTGCACTGCTCTAGCTGAGGAGGGACAGCGCATGTGGCAGTGCTTTCTCAGCCGCTCAGCAACAACTCCCTCCTCCACCCCAAAGGAAGAGACTGACTGAAAACTCTAAAATTAGAAGATGAACTGGGGCTGAAAAGCCACAAAAGCAAGTTGTGTCACTGCCACCTCCCCAGCAGTACTCACCCAAAAGGGTCTAAGTCTTCTCCCCCGACAGCAAATGGGCCCAGGGGATCACACCTGAAACAAACAAGAGACAATTACTGCAAGTCCCACAGCAGCCAGGCACCTGATACATGTGGGATCACAAACACACTTGCAGGCATGGCAAACCCCTGCATGAGACCATAACACAAGGGATATTTCAGGGTGGTCCTTGGCTCAGATGAACAATAATCCTACGATGACAATTATGTAAGAAGAGCGGAACACAAACCTAAAAACATAGATTAAAATATTAAATATTAATATTCTAAATAGTAATATTGGTAACCTCCAGATAAATTTTATTCACATCTTTCTCAGTTTCAACTTTGTATAATGAACCAATAAGTTTTACATCAGAAAAATATTATTCTTAAACCCAAAACCAAAATCCCAAAGCTAAGATTCAGACAGAAGCTTCCAAAGTAGAGACAGATGTATGGAGTCACATACAGCTAGAACAGTGCTTCTCAATCTTTTTGTCAAAATAGCCCCTGTATAAAATTTTAGTACTATAGATATACTGTGTATCTGTTTATGCATTGTACCTGAAGGAGGGCCACAAACCACTGTAATCTCTAGGACTGTCCCTGACCCCAACAGCTGATTTCTGCCTTCATGGAGAATGCATGAGCTAGAAAGCACATAAATGACTGCATGCTTTCTGGAGAGTAATTCCATATTATCTCTGTAATATATATAGATATAGACAGACATAAAAATACATAGTTCTTCAGAAGTTTTATATGTTTTTTTTTTTTTTTAAATGGCAGCACTTTTATTTTTTCTTACACAATGATGTGCTGCTAGGCCTAACGTTCTCACATAACAGTAAAAAAAACAAAATTTGTTGTCATCTCTTAAAGACTCAAGAATTGCATACAAAAAAAAACCTTACATAAATGAAAAGGATGAATAAATTTACAGGTGTAAATGCAAACCGCTTCCAACTCAAGGCAAGTAACAGCCCATGGTGTTCTGGCAGGAAAACATCAGCTAAGAAAGGAAACTGGGTCCTACAGGCAAGACAGAAATGACAACTGGTTCAGGAGCCCTTGCCAGCCTCTAGAGAAATCCCAGAATACTCAGCCCTGATACATTAATACCCTGCACCAGTGGGAGACTGCCAGCCACACAGACCCACCAAGCCATGGACTTGTCTTCCACAGGCATGTTCTTCATCTCAGTCATGAAGTGCCCAAACCACATGTGCTAAGGGTTGAAATCAAAGACATGAACAGAGTATTAAACAAATACCAAGAGAACAGTTAACTTGAATACAAGGTCAAAATTAGCAACAAGTTCTACAATCCACTGCTGATCAAGCTTCAAGGACAAATTTCTTTCCAAAAGCTTATTCCAGTTTTGTGAGACTGGCATGAGGTGTATACATTTGTCGGGGTAAATTTATACATCTGAATTACCCTATGCAGCAAATGCTACACATCTGCTTGTAGTCCATTTAGAAGCATTTGCGGTGGACATGGAGGGGCCCAACTCGTCATACTCCTGCTTGCTAATCTACATCTGCTGGAAGGTGGACAATGAGGCCAGGATGGAGCTGCTGATCCACACGGAGTACCTGCACTCTAGGAGCACAATGATCTTGATCTTCCTTGTGATGGGCACCAGGGCAGTGATCTCTTTCTGCATCCTGTTGGAGATGCCTGGGTACATGGTGGTGCCACCGGCCAGCACTGTGTTGGCGTACAGGTCCTTGTGGATGTCCACATCACACCTTATGATGGAGCTGAAGGTGATCTCACGGATGCTGCAAAATTCCACACTCAGAAAGAAGGGCTGGAACAACGCCTCCAAATACTGGAACTGCACGTTGCCAATGGTGATCACCTGGCTGTTAGGTAGTTTGTAGCTTTTCTCCAGGGAGGATGACGACGTGGCAGTGGGCATCTCCTGCTCAAAGTCCAGGGCGACGTAGCACTGCTTCTCCTTGATGTCATGCACGATCTCCCGCTCGGCTGTGCTAGTGAAGTTGTAGTCACACTCTGTGAGAATCTTCATGAGGTGGTCAGGTTCTGCCCAGCCAGGTCCAGACACAGGATGGCGTGGGGAGGGCACAGCCCTCGTAGACAGGCACTGTGTGTGACTCCATCTCCAGAATCCATGATAATGCCAGCAGTGCGCCCAGAGGCATAGAAGTATGGCCTGGACTGCCACGTACATGTCCAGGGTATTGAAGGTCTCAAACATGATCTGAGCCATCTTCTCTCTGTTGGCCTTGGGGTTTAGGGGGCACTTGGTCAGCAGCACCGGGTGCTCCTCCAGGAACACACGCAGCTTGCTGTAGCCAGTGTGATGCCAGATCTTCTCCATGTCTTCCTGGTTGGTGACGATCCTGTGCTCGATGGGGTACTTCAGCATCAGGATGCTGTGCTTGCTCTGGGCCTTGTCGCCCAGGTAGAAGTCCTTCTGGCCCATCCCCACCATCATGCCCTGGTGTTGGGGGCACCTGATGGTGGAGGAAAACACGGTTCGAGGGGCGTCATCCCCAGCAAAACCAGCTTTGCACATGCTGGAGCCACTGTCAATGACAAGTACGGCAATCTCTTTTTCCATTGTGATTGGTGGAGGAGCGGGAAGAGCTCCTCCTTCTAGGCGGCAGAGCAGCGGGAAGATGTGGAGCACAGGCTGGCAGTAGTGAGTGAGACCCTCTTAATATATCTCTATATTCTTTGACCTGATAATTTTTTGTCGAGGTGTTCATTTTAAATAAAGAATAAAGAATTTAAATTAAAATATATTCACAAAGACATTAATCAAGGAAACTGCAGTCAGCTTAAATGGAGGCCAGTTAGGAACATCATGGCAGGTTCCTAAATGTAGCCATAGAAACAATAAAAACCATGTTCTGAGAATGTTTTAAAAATGATGTGGAAAAACGCTCATGCTGTAGTGTTAAGTATCAAGGGGAAATGGGGTTTCTCAATAGCCTAGGGAAATTAACTGTGAAAAATGTGTGTATGCAGGGTAGTGGTGGTGGTATGTATAATTACAACTAGAAAGAAGCGTACTGAGAGTGCAAACAGTGACAGTTACTCCTGGGTGGTGAGGTATTTCTTTATACTTTCCTGTTTTTTCTGTAATGGATATGGATATAATACAACAAAAATATTTAGTATTTTGAAAGATGTGCTTTGGAATCTTTGCAGAGCCCTGGCAAGCAATACAAACCTGACAGTTCCGGGGCAGTGGCAGGTTCCTGCCAGACCTTGGGAAAGCCTTATATACAGCAGCTAATCTAAGCTTACAGGTAAGAAGTCATTAATTAGAGAACTGGGAAAAAATCCAAAAGTAGATGCTCCTCCAGTCAGTTCCACCTGATGGGTTGGAATCGCAGAATACTGTGATTTAAATGGACAAGGCCAGGTTTCCTAGGGAAGGAATATTTCCTGACCTAGGTTACTGCTCCCAAGCCACAGTTCATGGAGCTAGCAGTCAAAGTTTCTAGCAGCCTCCAATATCCTGCCCAACTGGAGGCAGACCAGGTGGTGCCAGAGGGCAATGAGCATCTTACCTGACTCCATGAAGTGCCCCCCGACAGAGTGGCAAACATAGGGGGCTTCTAGTGGCTGTTAAAATGCTTGAGAATAGAGTCTTGATTGCTCTGAAATATGCAACCATCTCTATTTTTCTCTCTGGACCACGAAATATGGGGAGGAGAGAAGAAACAGAGAACAAGAAACGTCAGACAGGCAGTTGTAGGCTGGGCACAGTGGCTCATGCCTGTAATCCCAGCACTTTGGGAGGCTGAGGTGGGCAAATCACTTGAGGCCAGGAGTTCGAGACCAGCCTGGCCAGCATGGCAAAACCATGTCTGTAAAGGCCGAGTGCATGGTTGACGCCTGTAATCCAAGCATTTTGGGAGGTCGAGGTGGGAGGATTGCGAGTCCAGGAGTTTGAGACTAGCCTGGGCAACACAGTGAGACCCCCATCTCTATTATTAAGGAAAAATAGGTGCTGTATTTCCTAAGTTGTTTTTGCTATTAACATTTTTAATGGCCAATACATACTCAAGAGAAGCAAATTTAAAAAATTTACTTAATTTTCTATTGCAAGCATTGATGATGTTTCTGGGGTATGCATGTGTAACTACAAATAATACTGTACTTAATATCTTTCATGTACATTTTTTTTTCTCTATGTTAGAAAACACAGATATCTTACCTTCTGTCACTCCACTACTATATGATGGGAACAAAGAACTTGTTTCTTTGGTCAACTAATTGAAAGGAGTTGTGCTCAGGAGCCTCAACTGCACCTGACTGAGATGATTAGGTCTTGGTCCTTCAAGTTAATGAGATTTAGATAAGATTTTAGACTGAGTTGATGCAATAATGGGTTAAGACTCTTGGAAACCTCAGGGGAACAAAGATATATTTCACATTTGAGAGGCCAGAGAACAGACTGTGGTAGATGGAATTCAATCCCCTCTCAAGACTCCACAACTCCTAATCCCCAGGACCTATGAATGTGATGAGAAAGCAATCCTGTGATTGTTTTGTTATATGGCACAGTTGACCTCAAAAGGGCACATCATCTCAGTGGGCTAATCTAATAAACAGGAACCCTTAAAAGCACAGAACATGGAATGTGGCAGAAGAAGAATGCCCAAGAAGAGACTCAACACAGCACTGCTGGCTTTGAAGAGGAGGCAGCCACATGAGAAGAAATGCAGAAGGTCTTATGGAACTGAGGGAGAGGGATAGGAACCTTAGTCTTATAATCACAAGGAACTGAATTCTGCCAGTGACCTGAATGAGCCAAGCAAATCCATATTCTTGACCTAGAGAATTATGACATAATAAGTGGGTGCAGTTTAAAGCCACTAAGTTTGTGGCAATTTATGATGCATATATATGCTGCAAACACTTTCCTCACTTTACTGGCCTTACACTTTGAGTTCAGTTAGCTAACAGATGTTACGAAGATACTGTTTTTCTAAGTAATCTAAAAGAATAATGAGACTGACTCCAGCATTGCTAAGGATAGGAAAATGACACTGAAACATAGTGAGA